ACCGTTTGTAGTGGTTCTGTACATAGAACTTGTAGGTGCGTTCACTATTCATTCAACACGTAGTACGGCAGTCTAATCTTAGAATCATACTTCTGTCTACTTCACTCTACTCTCTCTGAGTTAGCCACTCCCAAGACAAGCACTTAGCTTACCTCTTGCAACTACCAGAACTACACAAGTGAGTGCTGGGGTTAGGGTTAGAGTTAGGGTCAAGGGTGATACCTTGACAGTGGAGGGACAACTTGGTTATATAACTAAGACCCCATCTACTTCACTCTACTCATCCTCTGAGTTAGCCACTCCCAAGACAAGCATTCAAGCTTACCTTTTGTAACTACTACCACTACAAGTGAGTGTTGGGGTTAGAGGATTGGATTAGGGTCAAGGGCACATACCTTGACAACTAGCCTACACCAACCTCTATAATACAGCTGGGATTGTCCCTTGCACCTTGATAAGTTTGGTGGCATGTGGATCTGGATGAAACTCTGATATGGAGGAATCACAAGACATACCTCACCAAGTGACAGAAGACAACAAGTATGGCAGGCACCATATTCCCACCAGATCAATAGTTGTTCTGAATATCTGGTGAGCAATATTCATTTATCCTCCTGTTGGGTTGTTACTGCAATCATTGTGGTCATAAAGGGCAATGACACAGAATCCAATCACTTACCCAGACCCAGACCAGTTTTGGCCTGAGAGGTTCAAGGGGCTGGATTCAGAGGCTGCAGACTTGGTTGACCTGCACAAATTGGTCTTTGGGTTTGGCAGACAGTCTGTTCTACCCCCTTGTTGCATATTTGTGCATCATTCTTCCAAATCACTGAATACATGGAGTTGGATCTGTCCGGGGCGGAATTTTGGCAACCACAGTCTCTGGATTGCTGCAGTGATTATCCTTTCCGCCCTGGACATTCGAAAGGCCTGCAATGTGGCAGACAAAGAGATTACACCTGTCCTGGCATTCAAACAGACCATTGTAAGGTATGCATAAAAGTTAGCAGCAATCCATTTATCTTCTGATCACACCTGTAGTCATGTAGTTCCATTTAAGTGTGATATAGGACCGCGCGCAGGGCGGGTCATTTCGCAGACGACGACAGAACTTCAGTGATTGGCCCTGCAGTGTGTCTGTAAACTGTGTCGAGGAAATGTAATCTGCAGTCCTTAGCCTACAGCATGCTGGAGTTCGACACGACTCGCAGAATGGAATGCAGTTGGAGAGCTGTGCTGTGTTATCCGGAGATACGTAAGTCAGCCGCCGATCCGAGTCGACAGCGATTCCAGCTGCAAGGATGGCAGCCACAGTATATATCATTAAATGCTTACCGGTTAGCGCCAGTCATAGGCTCGTTCGCGGGAGCACGTGACCGCGTCGTAGGATTCGCGCCTCGTGCCTGCCTTGCCACAAATTCAGCCACTTGAACACGATCCACGGCCACGACGTCTCTTCCTTTTTTCATTTTGCAATAAGATAAAAGTTGTATTCTCATCTCTTCCATCCAGTGATCCTGAACTAATCCAGAATCATCGTCTCCGTTCTTTTAACCCGTTGGTGTGTTGGATTCACCCACCCTCTCCATTGCGCGCGAACTGATTCCGAATCAGATCAAGACAGTCTTCGAAGTCAATTAAGTTTGAACTATGTTTACGCCTTACCGCCGCAGATTTATCTTTGAACAATGGCCCAGGGATCCTAATGGACCCTTCCTTAAGCCCCCCCCTCCTAGAGGGAAACGCTCTCCGAACGATATCCTTTGGGGCGCCGATCTGGACAGTTTTTTCTGGACACAACGACAGGCAGGCCTTGGTGTTGTGACTGTATGGAGTCGGAGCATGATCCAAGCGTTTGGAGAAAACTACCATAAATTAGAAGAGATCGATGAAGAAGAACCAGATCCCTGCGTGATCCACCCATACTCACAACTGCGCACTCTCATCAAGATGCCCGAGTTTCTCGCAAAAATCATGGATGCTGAGGATCATACTGACACCAATGCGATGGACATTGATACAGATGGTGCCTCTGCCTCTGCCTCTGCCGCCGCTTCCAACGAAAACGAGCTGCAATGCTCGATTGAGGATCTGCCAAGACTTCAAGAGTTCATTCCTAGGGAGCACTTTCCAGACATCCTCATGGTTCATGATCCCGACGAGTTGACGCAGGGTGAAGAAGTAGAACCAAATTCCGACTGCAAGGAAGATGAAAAGTCGCACACAGCACCTATCAAGTACAAGCGTGTCTGGCCGACGTGCGACGATCCTACAGGAGGGGAAGCATTAAATATGAGGAGCGGAGATGAGGCACGCACCGCGCATCTCTATCTTTCGGCCAACTCGCGAATAGGTGTCGGGCACCATTCGTTTGTCTACCGCGCTGCGTTGACGCTTCCCCATCCCCTCGTCGCAGAGTCATCTACAGGCCAAGTCACGGTTGCAGCAAAGCTTGCAATGCCTAGGCTTTCAGCAAGAGAAATGCTCAGGAATGAGGCTGATATTTACAATAAGTTCCCCAAGCACCTTATGGAGGACTGGAGTGGGTATAATCTGATCAAGCCGGTGAGGTATCCAGTGCCCGTCGACGCTGTGGTCCCCAAGTTTTTCGGCTATTATATCCCAGAGTCATCAGAGTCGAGTGCGAGTTCCCCTGAAAGTGGCCCCAGCCCGATTTTACTGCTCGAAGAATGCGGCACGCCAATTGAAGCAAGATGGCTTTCGCTAGACGAGAAGTACGTGTCCTCGTCCTATTCTCACTCGCTGCCATTCTCACCTCCGGTGTACTTCCAGAACACAGTGCTACACCCACATCCTCCGTCTACACATGGAAGACTTTGTGCAAAACTCGATATACGTCCGCAACATCCTCATGCAGCCCGGGCCGCTCTACCTTCCCCCGTCGGAGCGCACGCTCGCCCGCCCCGTGTTCCGTGTGATCGACTTTGGGCGGGGCGAGCGCTTGAATGACTGGGCGAAGGATCGGTACGGCCAAGACATGTCAGCGTATGAGAGCGACTCGGACGCCTTCCGCAATAACATCCTACCGTGGATCCTCAAGCTCCGTGAGCAGGAGCGCGAGGCGAGGCAAGAGCTAGGTATAAACGAAGTCGAAGATATCTGAGTTCGTCGTATGCTCTCGCGCGGCGGATGATCGCCGTGGGCATGTCGACGGACTTTGTACGTCCTTTAAACCCTGACCCACGTCATGGGGCTCTTTGACTCGGTTCCTTTGAGTTTTCTTTCGCTTCTTGTGATCATCATCAATCCACGTCATCGATTGGACGCTGTTTCGTTTCTGCTCTGTAGCCATCATTTATGTACTGGTAGATCCAACCCTGTATTCACAAGGAGTCGATGTAGTCTAAGATGTGCTGTACTTGTTCCGACCGCATGTAGCCCCAGTACTGACTGCCCGCGCAAAGGTGCATGGATAATTTGAGCACGACAAATTCCCCCGCTGATGCTCGCACTCTACTTCCCGGGTTCATGCAAGGCACGGCGATCAAGGTACATATTATATATTAGGATGGTGAAGAGACAACGCAGATGGCATGGTTGTCCGGTAAAGAATATTAATATACACACAACTTGATGATATAACACAACAGATGATGATCTAACTGATGCAGAAGAAGCACATGCGCTAGGACTGGATGTGGATGAGCCGAGAGAATAATACCATGATGAGGGGAATGCATGCAAATAACGGAGCACGAGTCCATTCGAAAATCCAATGAGAGAAAGGCAGAGGCCGGAAGTGGAGCATAAACGAGGACATGGAACCTGTGATGTTACGAGAGCGGCACGGAACATGCGCACAGACATCGGTCAGACGAGCATGCAGGCAAACCCGTATTGAGTGAATATAACTTGCACGAGAATGAACCCTGAAACGAGAAAGGAGCGAAGGAGCCGAAACAAGGGTGGGGCGGAGAACTCCATCTAATGCTACCGAGCACTCGTCGGAGGCATTAACTCGAACTCCACGGACGACTCGTCAGACAACGGCTTGCGCTTGACACTCGGCCTCTTCGTGAGCATTACCTCGCCCGACTTGCCCTCTTTCTGCAGCTCTGTAGGACTCGCACCGCGTTTCTGTCTGCCAGGAGAAATCATCGACGCTGCGCCGGCTTGATGGTACTGGTCATATACAACAGCATCTTGCCGCATGAAGTCCGAGAGACTGCGTTTCCGAGCCACCTCCTTGTCTGCTTGCACGAAAGGATCCTCTAGGCGATGTATCCTCTTGACACGACCCGTGCTGTTTCCTTTGTGATCGCCCGCCGACGACTCAAGGTCCATAGCCTCACTAGAGCCACGCGAATGCCGCACCTCAGTCTCGTCTTCCTCACTTACCGAGTCGGCCACATTCCGCTCTCTACGCTGGCGCTCCCTATCCCTCTCCTCGTCAACAACCATCAGCGCACCTTCGATGATCGCACGGTGGACAAACACGTATTGCCGCAGGCTCTGGCACAGACTCATCCGCTGCTCGCGCATATCTTCAATGACCCTCCGGACCGGCTCGTCGAATGTCGACAACAGCGGCGGGGACCAATCCTCATGCAGCTGTCGCGGTTGCGCGTAGTCGACCGTCTTCCCGCGCTGGAAATACATAGACTGACCAGGCGTCTCCTCCGCCCGCACCTGATCGTCCGGTGACCGCTCCGAAACCTCGGGCGACTTCGACGAAGAGCGTGGGTCCACATCCTCGCGAGGCGGCGAGCCCGACGTCTGGACTTCTGATCGCCACGTATCGAGCCGGCTGGCATGTTGACTGGGCGGGGGGTCCTTCTCTTCCGGTGAGGACGACGCGCTGGCCGCGGGCGGCAGCGCAAAAGCGCCCTCGCGCGATCCCGCAAGCTTCACCGGCGCAGGCGCATCCACCAGCGCCGACTTGGACGGACTCCGCAACGACATCTGCGCGGTCTTGCTTGTCATTGCCGCCGACAAACTTGTTGCACTCCCTGTCTGGCTTGACGGCGGACTCGTCGACGAGCGCGACCTGATTATTGACGTGCCAGAGCCGGAGCCAGACTCCAACCCCGAAGGCGCGCGATACGAGTCTGAGCTACCCGTCTCCGACGTGTCCTGTGTCTTGGTGGTGTTGCTGGTAGCCGTGCTCGACGCGGACGGGAGTCTGAACATCGTAGCGCGCCGCACTTCGTCCAGTAGCTCTGTCGACGCCGGCACCACGGTCCGAGGCGCGTCCTGGCGTCCCCCAGACGCCGACCCGGCAGATTTTCCCGAGCGCCGGCTCTTGCTCTTGTCTCCCTCGCCCTGGATGCCCATCCGCCGCTTGCTGTCGTCCACCTCCATCGGGACTGACTGTGCGAACCCCGCGACACGAACATGCACCTCGCTCTCGCCCACCGATACGGGCACGGTCAGCTCTGAAACCGACGGAGCCGCCGCCTCGCTCGACGCCGGGGGGCTCGGGCTCGAGTCAACCTCCATCGGCTCTCCACGACTGCTCGACCCGCTTCCACTCCCGCTCTGCGTCGACCTAGATCGCGAGTCCGTCATCCTACTCCCACTTGCACTCCCACTCGCATCTCCGCTCGCACCTCCGCTGCCCGCCAACGCCGCAGCCGCCGCCTGTGTCTCCTCCTTCCGCTTCCTCATCTCCCGGCGCACGCCGTCTAGAATCGCGTCGACAGCAATGAACCCGCCCGTCCGGCCAACTCCCGCCGAGCAATGCAACAGTACCGGCGGGTTGCGCAGTGCACGCCGCGCGATGCCCGTCGTCGGCTCCACCTCGTTGTCACCTTCCAAGATGCTATCCTCAGGCGTCCCCGCATCGCTCCTAGGCGGCGAGGGCGTGGGCACCGAAAGTCGGGCAGGCCACGGGCCCTGATGCAGCGGCCCCTCTCCCCAGCACCTGTCACCGGCCACCCGCGCACGCGCAACCGCCTCCTCGACTTCTCGGATCAGCCTCAGCACTCCATGCGGGTCGTCCGGGACATTCATGTCTGGCCACTCCAAGTACTGCAGCTGCGTCACGATGCGCGGAGGGGCATTCGGGTGTCCCGTATGCTTGAGCTGGAAGATGCGGCGGACGATACTCCGGTGCTCGTCCTCGCCGTCCTTGCGTTTCGGCTGGCGCCTCTTCTGCGCTGCTGCATGTGCTCCGAAAAACCCGGCGTTCATCTCGCTCTCACGGCGGTAGCGCTCGCGTTCGGGGGTGTCGTCCGTCGCAAGGAGCTTCAGTCTGAGAGGCCCGAATTCGCTGCCTTCCCAGTACTTGCCGCTCTTGACCGCCGCGCCCTCAACCTCGCGCGTGAGCATGACGATGACATGCACATTCTGCTCCCAGCACAACCTGCGAAGGCGGGAGAAGGGAGATCAGTGCCCGGATACACGTAACACGGCGCCCGTAGCTGCACCATGTAATAAATCCAAACAATCACTCACGTCCAAAAATCGGTAAAGGTCGTCGGTAATGGACCCTGTGTTGCAATGTACCGCTTCTTTGTTCCCAGCGGCTGAACATAGCTTGCATTCATATAGTCATCGTCATCCGGGTGCACCTTGCGCAGGCGCACCCGTGCATGCTCAAATGGCCAAATGCGGCTGTACCTTTGGATATGAGGCAAAAAGACAAAAAGTCAGTATATAGGTGTACGGGAGCATTACGGCCATCATCTGATTGCGGAGCCCAGCGCAACGTCAGCCCTAAACCCAGCCAGCCAATCACAGCGCGCAATCTGCCAACCCCGGGTACGAGGATCACTCGCCCTGTCCAAGTGGGCACGCGCGCAGACACAGACACCGCACCGCACGGACAACACGCCAGGCAGACAGGGACCGCAACTCACCGATTCTTGTTCCCCTTCTCCAAGCCCGCAGTGATGCTGAACGGAAACACCACCTTCGCCTTCGCTTCTTCCCCACCCTCGCGCTCGTTCCCCACCTTCGCCCCTCCCCTAACGACATTCGGACTGACTGCAACCACTCCCGCCGCACTGACACTGAATCCTCCCACCGCGCCTCCTACGACACTGTGACCTTGACCCAGCCCTGTCGCGCTCTCCATGCTATGGTGTTCCATGACGCCCATCAGGCGGCGCTGCTCTCCGAGCTCGATACGGTAAAACTGTAGCTCCAGTGCGCGCGTGAGCTCGTCTGCACCAGAAGGGCTCTGGCTCGTCTCCGCGCTAGACTCGCCCGCGGGCGACGACATCGATTCGCTCTCCACGAGCGGCTTCGGCTTTGCGCGTTGCCTGCGTTTCTGCCTGTGTGGTGAGTCTGCAGGCACGGGATGTGGCTGCACCAGGATGCGGGGCTCAGGGTTCGATTGTGAATGTGCACGTCCATGGGAGTACGAATTCTGCCGGGAATGCGTTGGTGAGACATGTTTCTTCTTCGATGGGGACTGTGGAGGGGACGTGGGCGGCGACGTCGACCTCGGCTCTAACGCGCGCAGGGTCGCAGGCAGCACAAGCTTTGCTCCCATGTGCTGCTGCACGTACGGCGCATACCCGAGGCTCGGCGGTACCTCGCGTCGCGGTGTACTCACCTCCTTTGCACCATTCACAGTCTGGTTCTGGCTCTCGCCCTCGCTCCAACCCTCCTCTCCACTATCGTCACTGCTACTCCCCTCCTTCGCTTTCCCGCTCCGCCTCGCTATCTCGCGAAGCCACTCAAACGGCAAATCACCTACACGTCTGCGCACGCGCCTTGGCAGCCGCAACGCAATGCCCGCACCGCGCTCGCCTACTGACTCGGCGCCACGCGCAAGCTCGAGATTCTGCCTGATCGTGTCGAAGAACGGATTCACCGCAACCTGTCAGCACAGCTGGTCAGCACACGGAGATGCCATCGGGAGCCCACATCGCAAGTCGCTGCATAGGCACGTGCGAGCAATATCCACGCCCGCACAGCCGATCGAGCGTAGACGTAAAGACTACGGACGATCCGCGTGAAATCCAATGACGTCGTGCAGGTATGACCTCATCGACGCACGCATACAGCCACTCGCCAGAATGTGGTAAATCTAGCCAGAAAGAACCTGTCACTCACCGGTCGCGTATAGGGCATCGAATGATGCATCGGCCGCGACTGCCCGCTCATCCCCGATGGATATCCGACCGGGCTCAGTGTCGGCATGCTGCTCGCCCCCGCCATCGTCGGGAACGACTGCGTCTCCTCTCCTCCCGCAAACGCGCCGGGTGCACCGGCTCGCTGCGGGGCAGCGATGGACCCCGAGGTACGACTCATTCCGGGGAGTTTGAGGTTGAAAGCTAGTGATCCTGGTGGTGCGCCGGCAGACTTTGCTCGTGAAGCGAGCAACGACGGTCCAGGTGTCGGCGTAGCTGTGGTGGAAATAGTGGCAAAAGGGTCGATCATCGAGGCAGATGTGACGGTAGGCGTCTCAGGAACTTGGCTCTGTAATACGCGCGAAATATTGACCGTCGACACGCAATTTGCGACGTAGGCAGCAAGAATCACTTACCGAGCTACCTGCACCGCGGAACGCGCGCGGCGGTGCCATCGTCGATGGCTCCAGGAACGCGATCTTGGAGAGTCCCTTTGTGCGCAGGACTTTGTGCGACCCAAACGTGGACATATGCGCGGGTGCGCTCGTGCTTCTGGACATGTCCTCTGGGAGGCCAGACGGGAGAACGAGGCCTGGGGTGACCGTAAGTGCTGGCGGGGAGAGGAGTTCACCAAGCTCGTCTTCCTCGGCGTCGTCATCGGGAGGCGGTGTGTGGTCGAGCAGATCGGGACGCTCGCGCCAAACGGTGTTAAACCCGCCGCGCAACCACGCGACCTCGCGCGCGTGAGGGAATCCCTCTGCGCGGAACTTGCGCAGGAGCCCGAGCAGCGCAGGTCGCTCTGCGAGCCCGGGTGCGTCCGAATCGTACACGAGAATGCGCGCGGCAGATGCCCACCCAGCAAAGCGCGCGCGAGAGGCGGGGGCTGGAAGCATGGGGGCGAGGCGTGCAAGCGCAAAGGTGGGTCGTTTGAGGAGGGTTGAAGGGACGGAGAGGGAGAGCGCGCCAGGAATGCGGGCGGCGGCGTGGGCATTGTGAGGGCGGATGTCAAGGATGAGGGCATGGGGGTCAGCTAGCACTGCGGGGAGGTCATCGGGCGAGAGCGCAGGGAAGGCAGATGGGGGCAAGGGCGATGCAGGAGTGGTGGGAGCGGAAGAGGGCGAGAGGGACGTGCTCGGTGACGGGGCCATCGCCGGCGTCGGGGGGATCAGCAACGGCGCAGAGGACATCGGCAGACGGGGTGGATGTGATGCTCGATGGTGAGACGGGGCGAGAGAGATGGGGGCGGGGACGGACGAGGCGAGATGAGGAAAGTGAGCAGCGTGCGCGGCATGGCGGGCGTTGACGGCGGCGGCGAAGGCGTCGACGGGGACGCCGTCTGTGGGAGCGTCGGTGCTGTTGGCCGTGATGGGCGGGGGCGGGGGCGGGGACGCGG